GGGGGGGGGGGGGGGGGGCTGTCACAGTGATGGAAATTGAAACAGTGGGTTTCTTTAATTGACACAAAAACTGACCATTTCAGTTCAGAGAGAAGTAAACTCCCATCACATGTACAAGCAGTTATGGTGATTTATCTAAAAGCCCAGTCTACATGAAGTCTAGCAAATTATGCTAGGCAGTGTAGATGCAGACAATGAGAAGAAATTCCTCTCCCTCTAACAGCTTCCGGTCTCTGTAGACAGGTCAGAAAAGTGTTACCAATACCTACAGATTGTTACCATAGACAAGTTTCAATGAGGGAATATGGCACATTTGGGACTGAATCTGAGACTGAGGCTGTTTAGAGCAGGCGTCAGCAATCTTTTCAGGCTGAGGGCCAGACTGACCCAGTTTGAGTCAGACGTGAGCTGGTACACAGTAGGCACTAGGACCCAGCCACCACTGCCAGCATTTTTTCCCAGCAGAGCATGCCCACTGCCACTGCTTTTTCTTACAACAGTTGGGGGATTTTAGCAGCAGTCTCCATGCTGCAGTGAGGACAAGTGCCAGCTGCTGATACTCTCCCTGTGCCATGGTGTAGAAAAGCAACAGTCCTGGGTGCTTTTTATGCATGACTGTTTGGAAAAATAGTGACAATGGCTGGGTCTTGGTACCCATCTGCCCACATGCCTGTAACCCAAGCTGGCTCAATACAGCTACTGAATCCCCACATCTACATGCCAGATCAAATGATTCCACAAGTTGGATCCGGCCTGTGGAACATAGGTTGCTGATCCCTGCTCTGTCTGAAGGTATGTCTCCAAAAAAGTGTTTTCTAGGTTAGAGTTCAACTGCTCTGGCAGCATAAATGCCCATGTGGACCCTTTAATCTGAAATATGATTGGGGTTTTAGCTCAGTTTAAACAATTTCCAAAAGGTACACTACAGTGTGTCTCTCTCCAATTTTACAAATGCAGAAGAGTTTCCATGAGGCCTGTTATACTAAAATAACTATAGCACTTTGAATTCAAACCTTGGCTTGGAATTTCCCAGGATATCAGTCCAGTTACTTAATAATAGACTTACCTGTCTAAAATAAAGAATAATTTTCCATCATTATAGATGATTGATAGAGTTGGTTAGAAATTCGCCAGAATAACACCACCTTTCTGTCTGAAAATGGTAATTTGCTCAAATTGACACTTTTCACAGATTTTTTTTATTTAAAAAAAACAGTAAAAGAAAGAAACTTAGGCAGGTATTAAAACTGCCCCATTACCAGGAGTCATTCACTTTTCCTGAGAATTTGTCAAAGGGAAATCATGCCTTATCGACCTACTAGAGCTCTTTGAGGGTGGCAATAAGCAGATGAATCAGGGCAATCCAAATGACTTAATCTTAGGACTTCTAAAAAACCTTTGCCAAGGTCCCTTATCAGAGGCTCTTAACTAAGGTAGTCATGGGATTACAGGGAACATCCTCTTTTGGATTAGAACCTGGCCCCAACACGGAAAGCAAAGATTGAGTAAAGTGGTCATGTTTCAGGATAGAAAGAAGTAAAACAGCAGGGTCCCCCAGGGATCTGTCTTGGGATCAGTTCTGTTTAACATATTTATAAATGATCTGGACAAGGGGGTGAGTAGTGAGGTGTCCAAATTTGCTGGTGACACAAAATTATGCAAAGGGATAAAGATCAAGGCGGACTGCAAGAAACTATAGAAAGATCTGGCATGATTGAACTAATGGGCAACTAAATGGCAGATAAAATTCAATGTAGATATGTGTGAAGTCATGCCCTTGGGCAAAAATAACTCAAACTATACATACACTATGGTGGGCTCTACATTAGCTATTACCACACAGGAAGGAGATGTGGGAGTCATTGTGAACAGTTCACTAAAACTTGTTGCTCAGCAGCTGTCTGAAAGCAATCAGTGATGGGGTGGTTCCTCCCTCTGCCAGAAGACAAGTGATGTGCTTCTTGGCACCCTTCCTTTTCTCTAGGCTGTAGACAAAGTGGCCCATGGTCCATATCCTAAAGGAACTGGACACACAAGTAGATGAATGCACTTGGGGTGCAATGGTTGTCCAGAGTTTGGAGCTCTTCCCACCTCTCCCAACACTCTCCATGGAGGGATGGGCTGTATGGGTCAGTGGCCAGGCACCTCTCCGGCTCTACCCCTTCTCTTTCAAGCTGCTCTCTAGTTGCCTCCTGGTGTTTGTGTGTGCCTGCCCTTGGGTGAAGCAACAACAGTACTACCTGATGCATGCTTTCCCCATATTCCCACCATTTTGGGGCTGAGGGAAGGGCCTGCTGCTGCTTGCACCAGGTCAGCCAGAACTCCTGAAAAGCATCATTCTTTTTTATAGTGCCAGTAGGCCAGCCCTAAATGTTTAGGCTGTGGTGTTAACAAAGTTTACAGGCAATCCTCTACTTACAACATTTCGAGTTTCAACGTTCCGCACTTACATCGTTTATAAATTGACACCCTGTTTCAACTTTCTGACATCAGTTTCAACTTTACAATGTTTGATCTGATGCAGTGCCACTCTAGTAAATAAGTTCGCTGCCATTGCCCATCTTTCTGGAGAACATCTGTCCAAACTTCCTTGGACACTTCCTTTAAGAAAGCAGCCAAGACTCCTGAGAAGACTCCAGCCAAAAACCCTTCAAAAAGTCCAGCAAAGCCACCTCAAAAAAGTCCTCCCAAATCAATATGATTGCTACTTACAGTATAAATACATGTATTTATGTGTCTATATGGTAGCAAGAAACACTTTTGTCTGCCCCCTTCTCAAATGTAAAGCTCCTCCATATGGCAAAAAACCCTCTTTTAGTATTTGCCCCCTTGTGGGGATGCTTTCTCATTTCTACCTTTTCTTCTTTCTTCCCTCTTTCTTTTATCATATCATTAATATTTTTATATAAGGCATATTTGTAGTGAAAATAGAGCTTGTAGATGCTTTTACAAATGTACTTTAAGTTTAATAGTAAGTTGTACCATGAAACAATGTTAGCAAGAGCAGGAATCTCTGTATGGAGCAGGTCCCTGAATGAATCATGGTTGATAGTGTAACACAGTAGATAGTCTGGATAAGTATGTTAATGAGCGGCAATTAACACCTATAAAATCAGAGACCAAGGAGAATAAAGAATCAATAAAGAGCCAGGAATTCCTGAAAACTTCATTGTTAAAGGTATGGAAGCCCTCGTTTGAACTACCAATGCTGGGAACAGACCCTTGGGGCTGAAATACCCCCGATCAACCACTTCCAGAGCTCTATTCACCATGGCAGTGGATCAATCAAAATTCATCAACGGACTCCTGAGTCCGCACGTATATGCGGACGTGCACCCTGGGGCTGACAGCTGCCATCCAGCAGCTACCAAAAGGGACATCCCTTGAGGTCAATGACCCCTGGATTGGGTAAGCCCGAGAATTGGATAGTCACCAAAGTCTGCCAGAGAGGGACAAAAGGCAGTGAAGAATGACCCCCAATGGTGCCCTCTTTGACCTGACCAGCACCCTGCCTGTCCAGCCAGAAGAACCAGCCAGCGACCCCTTTCTGCAGCAACATCGCACTGAAAGAAGCCTTGACTGGCCATCGATGGTGGACTCCAGCGCTTGGGGATAGGTATATCTTGACACCAGTGCTTAATGTTCAGAGCTAGCTACTGTGAGTGTGTGTGTGTGTGTGTGTGCGCGTGAATGTGTGTGTGTTTGAGGGGATCAGCACCAAGTTTTATGGTCTGACTTTTGTATCTGTCCAATAAACTCGAATTTAATGATGATCCTGTGAGTTGGTGCTTTGTAGCCAACAATATTACTCATCTATAATTGATTTGAGTACAAAATTCTTGGTTATTTTTAGTGAAAATAGGGTATTAATCCTTAGTTCAGGAATCGATCCCCCATTTATAATATAGTTTCCTGTGGGAAAATTGATTCCAAGTTACAACGCGTCGACTTAAGACAGTTTTCAGGAACCAATCGTGTTGTAAGTCTGAGGACGGCCTGTACACTATATAGTTGTTGCTAAAGGGAGCTGGCCTAATGGCAGAGGTGTGGTCTTGGGCATTAACATAGAGATGAAGATTCAGTCCAGCCAGGAGTAACGTGTTTGTTGCTCCTCCACCTTGACAAAGGTGACGGTGG